GAGCCCACAGTCCAGCTGGGAGATCCAGGATCGAGACCTTGCTGATGTTTCACCTCTCTCTCCAATTCACCGTTTCCCTCCGCCCGCCGGAGGAAGCCCCGGCGTGGTGGTGGAGGCCCAGCCGTGAGCCCTGCACGTGAAGAAAGCAGGAGGGAGACGGCCGGGAGGTCAGCAAGAGTCAGCAGCAACATCATCTGCTTCCCAGTTGGGGTGGGACACTTCTGCCGGGAAGGACGAATAGCTCTGCTCTTCCACTTCTCGGGGTGGTGTTTCATGGTTGGGAGGTACCAAATAACTCCCGTAAAACGCTGTCCCGGGTATGCTCTGCTTCACACTGCCGACGGGACAGGAACTTTGGTATTTCTGCAAAATCCTTACTGTCTGTCTTGTCCAAAAGAACAAAATAAACAATGCTAAGTCTGCCTACCTTGGAGAAGTTTCTTTGTGGGGTCAGAAGGCCCAGGGGAGGTGTGGGACCAGGGCGAGCTTTTCCAGCCAGCGTTAGGGAGCCCCTTCCCATGCCAAACCTCGCTCTCTAAAGCCCCTGCCCTTCATCTCAAGTTCATCAGCTGTGTCACACGACCTAGCAGCCTCAGCAACACCCAAGCAGAGATAGCACTCACCTACCTCAGGAAGCCAGGCCAGGCTGTTATGACTTAAAACACCAGTAAAATATCTACCAGCATCTGTTCAGGCCCACAAGGTCCTCTGAAATGGCTGCAGCCAAATTGCTCAGAGATGCAAGATTTTTAAAACCTTCATAAGGTCTTTCAGTAACAGCAGAGAACTCCAGAAATAAGCATCCCTTCCTCACACCGCAGTATTTCTGTTGGCAAAGAAACAAACCCAAATGGGAAAAAACGGAGCTCTGTTTTATTAACTAAAAGTGGCATCAGCCTGATGTCAGGGAGAGGAGGTCTCCACCATGTAGCCCAAGGCACAGGTGAAAAGCAGACACAAAGCTGGCTGAAGTGGGGCTGATTTGTCCCCTCTTTCACTCTGCCTTCCCGAGCTCAGTGCTGAAGGTGCTTCTCCATCTGGTCCCTCAACTTGTATTTCTGAATCTGGAATAAAGTGCAGAAAGGAGGAGGAGGAGAGACTCAGGAGGCGGGACAGGAGGCCAGGGCTCCAGCCCCGCCCCAGCCCCTCTCTTACCTTGCCCGAGACGGTGAGCGGGTACTGATCCACAAACACAACGTACCGCGGGATCTTGAAATGGGAGATCTGGGAAAAGAAAACCAACTGCTACGCAGCCTGCTGGGAATGGTGTATCCTGCCCAGCCAGGGCTGGATCCCCAGTTGCTGTAAACCCCCCCACTTTCATCTGCAAACCCCCAGCAGCTACTGGGTGTACTGGTCTGGTAGGGAAATGAATTACTGGGCTCAGAGGAGTCGAGACCCACCTTCCCTTTGCAGAAAGCTTTAATCTCTTCCTCGGTGCAGTCCTGCCCAGCCCTCACTCGGATGCAGGCACAGATCTCTTCTCCCATCCGCGGATCCTTCACACCAACCACCTGGTTGGGACAGAAGGACAGTGTGATCCCAGGGACATCCCTCTCCTCCTACCAGGTACATGTGCTGGAAAACCGTCGAGAGCGCTGACCCATATCACGGGATACTGAGATCATGGGGCTGTGTAAAGGCAGCTCGAGCTGCCTGGCTGTCCCACCCCTGCTTTTTACACAACATCGAGCCCTCCTGGAAGGACGTCCCAACCGTTTGCCAGAGAAAAGGCAGCAGAGCAGGCTGGGCACCCAGACACCAGCACCTTCCTTTGGTTTTGCAAAGTCACTGGAGCGAGGGCTGAGTCAGACCAGCCAGGCGGCAGCTCATCGTGGGTGCAACACGGACCGCTGTCATCCCTCTGCCTGCCTCTGCTTCCCCAAAAAAACGGAGCAACAGGTTTCACAACCAACGGGGAGACTTGGGAGGCTGCTTCAAGTGCTCTGGGATCTCCAGACAGAACAGCAGGAGAGGGATGAAGTCAAATTAAAGGATTATTTGAAACCCTTATAATGGCAGATCTTAGCAGGCCACTGCCTGTGACACCAGGAGACGGGCTTCCCAAGCCTGACCTCGTGCTAAAGTTTGCTCACACTATTTCACAAGAGTCCCACAGTCATTCCCCGCCTTGAACCGGTATCTCGAAATCCTAGAGACACGTCGATCCTTTTGAGTCCAGAGCAGTGACATAAAGCCCTAGAAACTACATAAACAGGGCTGGTTCACAACCCATCTGCACTGGGACTGTTCCAAGGCGAGATGCTAGCCCGGCACAGGCACAACACTGACTAAGTGGTTTATTTATGGGGAAACTTGTCTGGCACAAAACCTGGAGGAGAACAATCCCAGCAGATTGGGAGCAGCTGCTCAATGCTGCAAATCATCACTGTCTTGCGAAGGGGTGAAACTAAGTCTCACTCCTCATCTCCAGGGTCTCGCTGGAGGAGCCTTTTTGGATTTAGTTTAGTAATTATCAGTAAGAACTGTCCTTCCAGAGTGCTTTCCGAGTAAGAATTTCAGAGGGAGCTATGAAAGTGGACAGGCAGTTTAAGAACTAAGGACAGTCACTACTTTGCAGACGTGAAGCTGGTGCACAAGGGGACTGCCTGAACTGACGTGCCCCATGCCAGGAGCTCTGCCTGCTCCTTCCCCACCATGAGCCTCTCCCTCCTGCTCACCGACCAGTATTACACAAAAAGAGATGCTGAAGACAGAGGAAGACAACCAGGTCCCAAGCAGCAGTCCCAGCAGCTTTGTGCACAGGTTTCCCACCAGAGGAACCATTGCTGCTCACCACCCCCACCTCCCTCCCGCTCACCTGGACCTCCTCAACCTTAGGATGGGTGTGGAGAAACTGCTCCAGTTCTGCTGGGTAGATGTTCTCTCCTCCCCGAATAATCATGTCCTTGCAGCGGCCTATAATTTTGCAGTAGCCGTGCTCATCCAGGCTCGCGAGGTCCCTGCAACGACACCACACTCCTGGTCCTGTCCCATCTGGGTGGCAGGATGGCTGATGCTCCCACCCAGCCTGGTCTGGAGGCTAGGTCAGGGTGTCCAGAGGATAATGCCCGAGATGCCACCTCAACACATGGAATACATCAACGAGCTCCCGCTGCAGCCAGACACTGCCATCAGCAGCATCCACACAAACATCAGTGCTCAGGGGGAGGCGGTTCCTGCCCCCACTGTGTACCCCCACAGCCCCTCCATCGCACCAGTAGCGAAGTGACTATCCCCATCGCCAGGGGCACTCGGCACCGAGGGCTCTGTGCTAAAAGCTGTTCCAAAGTTTCACTGAGAGATCAGAGCGTGAAGAGCAGGGCTGTTTCCAGACTCACCCCGTCTTGTACCATCTCTCAGCAGTGACCACTTCGCTCGTCTTGGCAGGGTCATCCCAGTAGCCCAGCATGACGCAGTAGCCACGGATCTGAAGCTCCCCGGGAGTGTTCAAAGGCACGGACTTCCCTGTTTCTGGATCCTCAATTTTTGCCTGCAATGGAAGAGAAGAAGGGCTCAGCAGTGGATATCTGAGCCAAACATTGTGGCATGCCCCAGCTTCGGCACCAGACAGGGAAGAGGGACTGAGCTCTGCTGCAGGCAGAGGACCTGGAGCAGGTGGGGAGGGTCACGGTCACCTCTGTGTGGGGGAAGACGCATCCCACCGTCTCGGTTTTTCTGGCGATGCTGTCATTGGGGAATCCCATGAAGGTGACAGGGCTGTTTTCTGTGGTCCCATAGGCAACCTGCAAACACAAGAGAAGACGTGCTGCAAGGGGAAAGAGGATGGCACAGCTCCAGGCGTGAGACAGATGAAGCCAGTGATGACCCCAGGGGAGAGTGGGCTGGCAGGAGGATGTTCTCACAAGTCGCTCGGGTTGCAAGCAAGCGCTGCTCTCCTGGCCTGCGGACAGGGCTCTCCAGACTCCTGCCAGGGAGTCCCGGAGAGACAGGAGCTAAAGCAGCACCACACCTGCCTGCCAGGCCTTCCTCACCGGCATCGCTGTGCTCCAGACCCTCCTCCCCAGGACACTTTGGGTGTCATGTACTTTTGACGCCCCAACTACTTTTCTTGGAGGACCCCAGGGTTCGCCCTCCTCTTTTTTAACCTATGTCTCTCCAAGCCCTGTCCTGTTGACTCCCTGCCATCTCTGCCAGACGCGGATTTTGCCTCGGTGCCCTTGCAGCCATCGACTCAAGGTGCTGATTTCACTTTGCATCTTCTACAGCTCAGGGCACATCAGACATCGCTTTGGAAAAACCTTGGAGCCAGCAGCAGGCTCCTGTGGGAGACCGTGTGTCCCGCAGCACGGCTGCTTGCTCCAGATCCTTTTGTGCAGACATCAGCTCCTGTAACCCTCGCAAAGGCATCACGAGGCTGCACAACGCTCAGCACAGCTGCCCTTACAGACTGAAAGCCTCACAGCAGGACAAAAGCCTCTCGCTGCTAAGCCTCCCTCACCGCTAATCCCAACGGCAGGCTCTGAGTCACCTCAGCTGAAGGTCATTTCTCCATGGAGGAAAATTCCAGCTCTTTGTGCCCAGCTCAGTGGCCTGCCGAGACAGCAGGAGCTGGGCAGGAGGTGCTCTGGGCAGCTCTGAGCTGCACTGACAGCACCACTGCTGGAATTGCTGCTTCACCTCCAGCTCTTGGGAGCTCTGTTTCAGCAGTGGGACGTGCTGGAAGGCTGCTCTGGTCTCTCTAACCCACTCAGCATGTCGTGTGCCATCAGGCAGGGTTTCTCTCCCACCCACTAATGTCACTGGTGGCTGCTCTGCTGATGCGGGAAGAGTTTGGTCCTTTCTCCTCCACATCTTCAGACCAACACGTGAGCAGCTCTGACCCACCAAACCACTACAGGGCCTGACTGTCTTCCTACAGCCTTGGCACCCAGACGTGGGTCATGCTTTTAGAGCAAATGCCTGGGCTCCGATGCTGGCTGCAAGGGCACGTCTGCACGGTCAGGGCTTCTGCACGGTCCTCACCAAACCACAGGCACTGCGCCCAAAATCAATGAGGGGCTTTGCAAAGTACTATGATGAGATGTCCTGAATGAGCACACATGTATCCTGAACGAGCTATCCATAACACTGGTGGGACCACTTGGTGCTTTCTGCCGCTCGGGGCTGCTGAAGGATCTCACATTGGGCACCGTCTGTCATAACGGCTGATGCTCTTGTCTGACTACACCGGTGTCAGTGTGAATCTGAGCTGGAGATTTGCAGGAGCCTCCTCTTAGCCAGGAATCTGGAGGAGATAGTCTCCAGGATGCTGCAGGGACCATCTGGTGCAAACTGCTCTGCTAGGAGCCTGGCAACCCGCAGGGAGCGACTGTAAATAGGCTTCTCCTACCAGATGCAATGATAGCTTCCCAGCCGGGGTGGAAACCTACAGCGTCTAATGCTCAGACAGGATTTCTCTCCTACCCACTAATACGAGTCCTGTGGCTGGATCAAATGACTGACGAGACACACATCCAAGATCTTAAACACTTATTAAAAATCCCAGCGCCTTTGTTTTTTTGTTTTACTCTGCTGGATGAATTGCAATGTCGGTCCCAGGATCCTGGCCAAGCCCTGACTCAACCCTTTCTGCCTCTCTGGGTCGCTCCAGCAGTTTAATTGGACACAGCAGCAGGCAGCTCCCTGGCAGGACGATGCTGCGGGTGCCGCGGCTCACCAGGCTCCTCTAGATGCCTGGCAGTGTGCCGTGTACCCCAAGCACCGGCTGTCCATGCCTTGGCGGATGGCTTGTCCCCATAAACACCCTCACACCCTCAGTAACAGGCTTCCCGACTCGGCCCAGAGAGCAAAGTGGGTCTGAACCTCCAGCCTTCAGTCTGCTGCCTGATCGCCGCCTTCCCCTCCCAGCCTGCCTGCACCGGCACCGCTCTCGCAGCCAGACACCAGGATGTTGCTCCTGACCTTTCCAAGATAGCATTTCTCTCTTGGGATAGCGTTTTCCCCATCTGCATGCCCAGGACTGAGACAGTGGCTGCAGCAAGCCCTCGTGCCAGCACTGCTGCCCTTCCCGACCCGCATCTGGCACGTGGAGCATCCTCCAACGGCTCCGTCGTCCCAGCCCAGCCATGGCTCGTGATGCACGAGATGAAACAACGCTTCCACAAAACCCCATGTACCAATTTACGCTTGGAGATATCCACGAAGATTCATAGCTTTCAAGACCCAAAGGGACACTTCATCATCTAGCCTTGTCATCTGGTATAATTTGGTCCAGAAAACCTCACCCAATAATTTCTGCATCAGCTCCATAATTTCCACTGGAGCTGTATCTTGTGTCAAAGCAAAGCTTTTCCGAGGCAAGGAGTCCAGCTTGGACCCTTGGCTTTGAGAGGAGCTACAAGAATACAGAATATAGTTGTCTATAAAGCATTTTCTTTACTGTGAGGAGCACGAGTGACTCCCCAGTGCCAACCACAGAGATCAGTCCTGCCTTCAGCAATGACAATGACACCTCCAAAACAAAGTGCCACCTAAGTTACTCATACTGACAAGAGATTCATTCTTTGTGAATCCTAAGGCTCTGTCTAAACCAGGAATAAAAAGAACATCTTAGCAGAACTGTGTTTTTTAAAGCACATTTCAAAAACATTTCCTGCTAGCGCTGTTTAAACACTGGCCACTGTGGAACAGGCAAAACAGCCTGAAGAAGGAAGTGTCTAAAAATTAAAAATGAAGTAAAACCAATCAGACTCCAGTCTCTTTAGTAAACATTTGGGAGGCAGGCTGATCTGGTGGGGAGAGCGGGGACTCTGAAGACCCTGGGTTTTTCCCAACCGCGCCGCTTATTTACTGCATAACTTGGAACGAGTCACATTAGGTCTCTGCTCCTTGGTTTTCCCCAGCGTTCAACAGCAATAAAAACACCCACTTCCCTCTGCATTCAACTGCTGCTGAAAGGCTGTGATGAGAAGGCTGGCTTCAGGACCACCAGTACCCCAAGCGGGGTCACACTGGGTGGAACTGGAGCAGAAGGTCAGGGCTGCGGGAAGGCCCCAGGTCCTTGGAGGAAACCCCATCTGGACCTAAACAACGCTCAGGGAGGATCTTCATGTCCCTCATCACCACCCTCTGGTTATGCCACGCTGGAGGATGATGGCAGGGCTTGAACCACCAAACTAAAACCTACAGAAATTGAGCTTCGCTGGAGACAATATTGGCCTCAGAAAAAAGCAGCAAATTGCCCATGAAATAATAGGGATTTTCAGACTTCAAAGAAGGCGTAATGAACAACAGAAAGCAGACTGGCAACCCAAGAGATGTGCTGAAGGACCTCTAAGAGGCCCTTTGAACCTCACTTGGTGTAACATGCCGGATGGATCTAATTATCCCTAAACCCGTGCTGAGTGCATTGTCTGCCTCGAGTATCTTCACCACAGTCAACCGCAGCCCTTCCCTTCGCAGCCAGCTCCAAATTGTTCTCAACTGAGGAACGATCATTCAGCTGCTCTCTACCAATATCACCCTGAGCTCTGCTGTCCTCTGGGGACATGTGTCTCCTTGCTTTGGAGATGTTCCACTACCCCAAATTGTACTGGAATATTCCTGAACATCTGGGTCAACTTTGCTGCTGCACGCCCCAGCCCAGCCATGGCTCGTGATGCACGAGATGAAACAACGCTTCCACAAAACCCCATGTACCAATTTACGCTTGGAGATATCCACGAAGATTCATAGCTTTCAAGACCCAAAGGGACACTTCATCATCTAGCCTTGTCATCTGGTATAATTTGGTCCAGAAAACCTCACCCAATAATTTCTGCATCAGCTCCATAATTTCCACTGGAGCTGTATCTTGTGTCAAAGCAAAGCTTTTCCGAGGCAAGGAGTCCAGCTTGGACCCTTGGCTTTGAGAGGAGCTACAAGAATACAGAATATAGTTGTCTATAAAGCATTTTCTTTACTGTGAGGAGCACGAGTGACTCCCCAGTGCCAACCACAGAGATCAGTCCTGCCTTCAGCAATGACAATGACACCTCCAAAACAAAGTGCCACCTAAGTTACTCATACTGACAAGAGATTCATTCTTTGTGAATCCTAAGGCTCTGTCTAAACCAGGAATAAAAAGAACATCTTAGCAGAACTGTGTTTTTTAAAGCACATTTCAAAAACATTTCCTGCTAGCGCTGTTTAAACACTGGCCACTGCGGAACAGGCAAAACAGCCTGAAGAAGGAAGTGTCTAAAAATTAAAAATGAAGTAAAACCAATCAGACTCCAGTCTCTTTAGTAAACATTTGGGAGGCAGGCTGATCTGGTGGGGAGAGCGGGGACTCTGAAGACCCTGGGTTTTTCCCAACCGCGCCGCTTATTTACTGCATAACTTGGAACGAGTCACATTAGGTCTCTGCTCCTTGGTTTTCCCCAGCGTTCAACAGCAATAAAAACACCCACTTCCCTCTGCATTCAACTGCTGCTGAAAGGCTGTGATGAGAAGGCTGGCTTCAGGACCACCAGTACCCCAAGCGGGGTCACACTGGGTGGAACTGGAGCAGAAGGTCAGGGCTGCGGGAAGGCCCCAGGTCCTTGGAGGAAACCCCATCTGGACCTAAACAACGCTCAGGGAGGATCTTCATGTCCCTCATCACCACCCTCTGGTTATGCCACGCTGGAGGATGATGGCAGGGCTTGAACCACCAAACTAAAACCTACAGAAATTGAGCTTCGCTGGAGACAATATTGGCCTCAGAAAAAAGCAGCAAATTGCCCATGAAATAATAGGGATTTTCAGACTTCAAAGAAGGCGTAATGAACAACAGAAAGCAGACTGGCAACCCAAGAGATGGGCTGAAGGACCTCTAAGAGGCCCTTTGAACCTCACTTGGTGTAACATGCCGGATGGATCTAATTATCCCTAAACCCGTGCTGAGTGCATTGTCTGCCTCGAGTATCTTCACCACAGTCAACCGCAGCCCTTCCCTTCGCAGCCAGCTCCAAATTGTTCTCAACCGAGCAACGATCATTCAGCTGCTCTCTACCAATATCACCCTGAGCTCTGCTGTCCTCTGGGGACATGTGTCTCCTTGCTTTGGAGATGTTCCACTACCCCAAATTGTACTGGAATATTCCTGAACATCTGGGTCAACTTTGCTGCTGCAAAAAAACAACTTCTGATCACGTCCAGCCTATGTCACTCTGCGATTTCCTTTCCTTCCCCAGCAACAGTACCATCTTTGTGTCAAAAACGTCAGGACACAAACAAGCAGGTCTTGTAGGACAAACCTCTAAGGGTGGCCACCCTGTTGGCATTTCTCCCCACCCGGAGAGCTGCCAGACAGTCCCAGTTTGGATGGGGCTTAAAAAGTTCCCAAAAATATCAGGTGCCAAAAGCACCGTCTTTATGTTGTAGCACGCAATGGCTTTGCCTCAGGAGGAGACCACTGCAAAAATGGCAACCCAGCTTGCCCGGGCCAGAAGACTGCTGCTGAAAATTCACCTCCTGTTATCGTACAGTCAGGACAAACTGCTCCTCACAGTCTGGAGTTAAAGCTGCCTCTCTTCTCTCCAGGCTGAGCAGAAGTCTTGAGGCTTGCAAGTATTTCCCCAGTCCTGCCAGCATGTCAGAAGCATTGCCCGGTGGCAACCAGCAAAGGCATGTGCAGTTACTTACTGGTTTATCCATAGCTTTATAAAAGGTCTTTGCTATGTAATTAACTCCATCCTCCCTGCTGCTGGGTGCCAATGCACTTAGAAAAAATGGAATTAAAAGGAAAAAGTGAGAGAAACAAAGAGTCTTGCAAGGGTGGAAAACCACTGCTTTGGGGCTACCTGAATGCTCAAAGCTGCTGGAGAAGGAAACCTGGCACAAAACAAGGGGCCAAGGTAACATCCCCGCAGATTTGGAGAGCGCAGCTCCCACCAAAGACACAAGCTAGAAGTCCAGGATCTTGTTGCTTCCATGCTGCATTTTAAATGTTCTCACAGCACATTCCCATAGCTTCTGCAGCTACTGAAACCACCTACTCATCAGCTGGCACAAAACAAGGGGCCAAGGTAACATCCCCGCAGATTTGGAGAGCGCAGCTCCCACCAAAGACACAAGCTAGAAGTCCAGGATCTTGTTGCTTCCATGCTGCATTTTAAATGTTCTCACAGCACATTCCCATAGCTTCTGCAGCTACTGAAACCACCTACTCATCAGGTCCTCCCCAAAAATGAGGTGGGATGGGATGGTGGGATGGGATGGGGAGGTCTCACCTTGGCCAAGGAAAAGCAGAGAAGTTGTCACTGAGTGGAGCCAATTTTCCATTTTGAGAACAGGGGGGACTCATGGCTGGGGAGCATTTGGGAAAGTCAGAAGTCCCGCATGAATTGGTTGTGTTCTGCAAAGGAAGAAAGTTCCACTCTTCTTCAGAGCCTGCAAGAGCTGCAGAGAGGACGGCAGCTCCAGGCAGAGCAGCGGGCTGTAGGGGATGCCCGGTGCCTTGCAGGGTGGACACAGCAGGGCTGGGGAGAGGCAGCAAGGGCTGGGTGAGCTTCACAGGAGCGGCCAAGAGCATCATGCAGCAGCTGCTGGGATCAGACAGAAGGGACGGGTGGGTGGACATCAATGCGGAGCCAAACTGGCAACATATCAATGGGTGGAGGCCATGCTACAGCGGAAGAAAACCATCAGAAGGAAGGAGGTGCACCCACCACCTCCTCCAGCTCTCCCAGCAGCCTGAGCCCCCACACCACAGCAAAAGGTACCCTTCAAACACGTCAAACAGAAACAAAAACTTGGGTCTGAACTTGGAGCCCCAGATGCCGCTGTCACTGATGAGATACTTGTACACCACCAAAAGCCAGGGATTTCTCAGGTGCTGCCTGGAAGAAGGGGGGAGACCCTGGAGACCCTCTGGGGCACCCCACGCCCACCCACCAGGGCTCCTCAAACACTGCCTGGAGGGTGCTCTGCGCTTGGGACAACTCCCCTGGGACACTGCAGAGCTTGCCCCTTCTCCCACCCTGCTCCTTCTTCAGCACCCGGTGCCAGGGGCTCAGCTCCGTGAGGGCCGGTGCTGTGCGGCTGCAAACGGGGACAGCGCAGGCACCCCAGGGCACCTCCCCAAGCTGCTGGAGCCCTCGCCTCCAGCCTGGACCCCAAAGGCCAGCTACACCGGTGCCACTTCAAGAAGGTGATTGCTAGCGTGCACTGACATACAAAATGAGATCTGGATCACCTTAAAAGCTACAGAATCAGGCTTAAGCAAGCAATGGAATATTTTAACATGGAGTAGCGCGCATGAGCTGTCTTGATACGCCAGAATTGTCAGTACTAACAAAAATAAATATTAAACATGGAAAAGACCATCTCCAATGCTGTATCAAAACAGCTCTGACCTTCAGCACCAAAGAAATACCCCAATTCTATATTTATACTGTTTCAAAAACTGTATTTATTTGCTTAGCCCACAACGCCTCCAAGGAGAGGAGGGGAGTCCAGCATCTGCAAATTACCAGGCACCGGGAATGTTTGCAGAACTGTTAATCAATTAAGAAAGAGAGGATGGCAGGATAATCCTGCCTCTTCTGCCATGTCCTAGCAGTGCCGGTCCCGGGGGACCTGTGAGGTGGGGGGCTGGCCGGGACCCAGCTCGCTGCGGTATCCCACCGCGGCAGAAGGAACACCGACACTGCTGCCATTGTCACTGCCAGACTGCCAGCCACCCACAAGCAGGACCCGGGCGAGCTTTTGAGGATCACTGGACGTTTGCTGGCCAGTCGAGGGCTGCGAAACCCGGTGTGGGAAGACCAGACCCCGCCAGCAAGCAGCTCAAAACACAAACAGCCGGCACCCCAGGGGCGAGATGCCAGCTCTGGCAGATGCCAACCAGCTCCCGCCACAGGAATGTGCTCACCGAGGCATGGAAATCAAAAAAACATTAGGGGAAAGAACTTCCTTTTATTCAACATTTGTGCCTGGAGAAATGGAGCCAAGAAGCAGACACCTTTCCCCCAGTAGCACTGCCCTGCTGCCACCCCACCACGGGACCAAAAATAACCCGGCATCCACCTAACCTAAGGCCCTGGGCTGGCAGGGAGGCCTTGGGGTAGGGACAGCTTCCCACCTTGCACCAGCATCGTGGCAGCTACATCACGGCATCTTCCCGAGGAGCTACGGGTCTTACCCCCATCCACAGCCCGCCCGCTCCAGCCACAGCACGCACATCCCTGCAGGAAGACCGTCCCTGTCCCCAGACATCTGCAGTCTCAGCCAGCAAAGAGATAAAGGGTAGAAGAAAGGGAAAGGGAAAGGGAAGAAAGGGAAATTTATCCTCAGAGAAAGAAAGATGAGAAGATGGTTTGAGGTTTGGGCAGTTTAACCTCTGAAAAGGGTCTTGTTCCAGAAATACACATGGGCTGGGATGTATTTATGGATGGAGTTTGCAAGGCCCTCACCAGCTTTTTGCTCCAATCTGACCCACGTTGGCAGAAAGCTCTGCAGAAGCGGTAAGCTGTTAGCTGGTATTTTTGCAAGGGGATGGGAAAACCAAGTATCAGACATCAGCTTGCACTCGGGGAGGGAGCACGGATATGCTACCTAGCTTCAGTGCCCAGCAGAAACAGGCTGGATGTTAAACCTCTCCCATCAGTTGCCCTTGCACAGTATAGCTGGTACGTAACCACAGGAATTGTTCATCAGATGATTACAAGACTAAGGCGGTTGAACCTGCTCAGAGAAAAAAACGTATCGATCAGTAGATAGAAGACGATGCTTCAGAGGTGAACTTTTTCCTTTTCCAGTCATTCACCCAGCTCCTCGTCTGAGCTTTATGAGCAGCACACGCTTAAGGGGCACTCTCAGCCCTGATCAACCTGCAGAGGCAACAGAGGAAAACACGGAGGCTTCTTCTGTCTGCCTCCTCTTTTGCTGTCTCAAAGGTGCTGACCAAGACACCCAAAGAGCTACTCCAGAGATCAAAGCATGAGCATGACCCATTGTGGTGCCTGCTAAACCAGGCATAAGCAAAAATACCATTGTTTTGATCAAAGAGTTTTAAATCCTACAGTAACTACAGCAGTGAGCCCTGCAGGAGGTCCCTCCAGCAGGAGCCTGGAGCTCCTACGGCTAGAGCATCTCTGTGGAGATGAGGCAGGAGAAGCCCTTGGTGCTGAGGCCCCAGCTGCTCGGCGGCAGGCGTTGCACCTCAAGGCTGACAAACATTGGGAGCCTGATACGGCCTAGTTTGCACCCAGGTCCCCCATTATATCATTGTTCAGCCAACCCCATCTGCCCCACAGGCTCACCAGAACCTACGTTCACACCCTTAGAAGCCCCTTTTCTCCCCCAAATTTATCATGCAATGAAAACACCGCTCCGACTGACAGCTGCTGACCAGAGCACGGGCTGCCAGGCGGTTTGCATAACACCGGCCGGCCGGAGCATGCTCGGCGGCGCTGGCTAATTCCTCATTGCAACAATGGAAAAACCCAGAAACCTCGGTGAATAAGCCAGTCTGTGTCCTAAGTCAGCCCTTGGATTTCCTCCCTTTCTTGAGCCTGTCTCGCCTCTGCAAAAGCTCCACTGGGGCTCTGCAGCCAGCCTCAGGAGCAGAAATCTCAACAAGCTCACAGTTATGTGCTCGGCTCTCAGCTGTTTGCTGCAGCCAGGAACTGGCTGGAAATCAGTTCAAAATGTTCCACTTCCAAACCCCACCCCACAACCCCTGGATCTCTCTCTTCACACTCGCAGAAGCAGGCGCTGGGGCTTTTAACCGCTTTGCCTTAGCCTTCTCTGTCGGGAGAGCAAGGACATCCCCTGTGTGGTTAACTCACCTCTGCCACTGCAACCCCCAGCCAGGAGCCAAGGCAGACCCCACTCCCAGCTCCAGCAACTATTTCCTTGCTCTGCCACCTCACCATCCCTTTACCAATGCCCACGCCTTTCCCTGTCCACAGCTTCATCTTGAGAGCCGCAGGCATTGCCATCCACCTCACCTGTGCTGGGCACGCAGCCGGGCACCACTGTCTGGCATTTCATAGCCACCAGCCCATGCACCACCGCTGCCCCATCCCTTGTTAGAAGGCAACAGCCACTGCTCCACAGTGCCATGTGCTGAGAAAAAAACCACCTCATGCGGCTCTCCTGACCATGACCATGGATGTGTGACACTTGACTGCTCATAGGAAAAGATGCAGTAAAAAATTAAAAGACTCTCTTCGCTCTCCCTTTCTTGGCCAACTCCTAGGTGCAGCCTAGACCTGGAGGTCTTCAATGAAAATTTTGCATTGCAAGAGCAACTACAGCGCTGTTGGCCTTTGGCATGACCCTGTATTGCTCCCATCTTCTCCCATCCCTGCTCAGGCAAACGTCTTTGAAATCAGCAAGACGAGACCCCCCAGAACCCATCCTCTGTGATAAACAGGACAAGGGGCTTCTCCCCAAACCAACTGAGACTAAATACAGCCCAGGAGCCTGCTGAAAGCTTCAGCACAAGGTGGCTGCGAAGCACAGCAGTGCTCCCTGCTATGCCGTTCAACCAAAACAGGTTGGTTTTCCCCCCAGTGATGAACCTGGGCCCCACTCAGCTCAGCAGGGACCAGAGAGGTTCCCCACAGAGCAGGTCTGCATTTGTTTGTCCTGACCATTTGCCTCCCTGTTGCAGAGAGGAAAACTACCTCTGCACAGTCGCTTCAGCAGCGGGGCCAGGCAGGACCGTGGACACTCCTCTGCCTGGTGCCAAGGGGTTAAGCTCACAGTAAGTTCCCAAAGCCAGTTGCTTCCAACTGGCTGCTGCCTGCGGTTTGTGGGAAGGGATTTTGCTTTTTAATAACATTATAAATAGGGCTGTGTTCAGCATGCTGCAAACCCAGTTACTCTGTCTCTCCCACCCATCTCCCTCCTCCTCCTCCTCCTGCTTCTCTTCCCACCACACTAATTCCAGATCTGACCATGAATCGGTCAGGTTTCTTCCTCAGTGTCCTCAGCCTACTGGCATGTCTTGCCCCCATGGTGCAGGCATGTCCCCCGAGCTGCCACTGCCACGGCGGAGACCTGCAGCACGTCATCTGCGACAATGCGGGGCTGAAGAAGATCCCCAAGGTGCCTGAGCAAACGCGGCTTCTCAACCTGCAGAAGAACAACTTCCCCGTCCTGCCGACCAATGGCTTCCGCGACCTGAAAAAGCTGGTGTCCCTGCACCTCCAGGGCTCACGGATCAAGGAGATCTCAACAGGAGCCTTCCGGGGGCTCAAAAGCTTGGTCTACCTCTATCTCACTGATAACCAGATCAGTGTCATAAAGCCAGGAGCCTTCGATGACCTGTCTGAGCTCACCTACCTGTACCTGGACCAGAACAAGATCCCAGACCTACCCAAAGGGCTCCTCTCCCCTCTTGTCAACCTCTTCATCCTGCACTTAGGCAGCAATAAAATCCGGGAGCTGAAACCAGGGGTCTTCAATGGGGCTAAAGACCTACGCTGGCTCTTCCTCTCTGATAACTCCCTCACCAACCTCCTGCCTGGGGCTCTGGAGGATGTAGAAAACCTTGCTGTCCTCCACCTGGACAAGAACCAGCTGAGCAGCTATCCTGTGAACGCAATGAGTAAGCTGAGAGTGCTGGAGGAACTGAAGCTTTCTCATAACCCAATTGAGGTCATCCCTGACAATGCCTTCCAGTCCTTCGGGCGTTACTTGCAGACACTCAACCTGGACAACATGAAGCTGAAGAAGGTGAGTCTCTTTCCATTTGTTCAGATAAGGAACACAGGGTTTCTCCTTTACAAAGCCCTCGGTTTGCTGTCCTCCCCTTGCAGAGCAGAGGGGAGATGCAGGTCTCCAGGCTCTGCAGACAGCGAGGCACTGGCCAGCTGATAACACCCCTAACACGGCCCAAACAAGGGATGAGGGAGAGAGTACTCCACCCTTCTGTCGAGTCGTTATATGCAAAACCAAATTATCTGGAGCTGATCAGACTCCTTGGAAAGGCAGCACATTCCCTCCCAAGCTGGAGGTGACACCAGTCATTGAGAAAGGTATTTGGGGTGCTCCAGGACAATCAGCAACCTTCCATCATCCCAGACACCAGGCATGGGGTGAGGCAAGCGTCTGCCTCGTACTCAAGCAACTGAAGGGCACTGCCACCTTGCAGAGCAGAACTGCGCTGCCTCCCTCCTTCAGCCTGGGTGGTAGGTTGGAAGGTGGTAGGTTAGGAAGGGGAGACTCCTCCGGAGGGGCTATGAATAGCAGCGGTTTCTTACCCACGCCTTGCAGACAGGTAGGCATACGGACCTTCACCTTCACCTCCCCCCATGCCTCCCAACTTTACACATTATAAAGAAAGGTTTGTTTATTGATGCTCTCTCAAAAGGCACCCTCGCAGCATCTTACAAAGGGGCCCTGTTCCCACTGGAGAGGAGGAGGGACATTCAGGTATCCCAAATGGTAAAATAACGCCCTTCTTCTGTGAGAAAACATGATCCGTAGGCAGGAGCATCAGCCTCAGGGAATCACTCACATTGGGAACTCTGCAATTTCAGACAGTGTGCAAGAACATAAAAAAACATGGTGCAAGAGCAGCAGCACCCTGTTGCAGCACGATGCCCTAGGTGCACCCCAGGTGGCTGGAAAGGGAGGGTGCTGCAGGTGGAGAACAGTTCTCCCTGGGACGATGCTTTGCCAGGAAGCCCCAAGACAAAGGCCATCCAGGTGAGGCAGGCTAGGACTTCACAGCAAAGCAACACCCACCACATGCAGATGTGATGAAAAAAAGAATTTCTTAGCAACAAAGAGCAACTCAGAGAGCCTTACAGAGATGAGGAGATGACCTGAAAGCTACCAGGAACAGAGTACCCCAGAGTTTTCAAGGGGATATAGCATCCCAAAATGCTCAAAAACTGGAATTACAGCTTGGCCAGGTGCAAAACAACACTACCTAACCCAGCTCAGTTGCACTCAGTCAGTGTTTAAGCCCTTGTCCGCCCTCAGCACTAACCTCTCCAGAAGGGAAGTAAGCAAACTCGACACTTGAAAACAATCTACTGACCTCTCCAGGCAAGACCTTGGACATACTGTCACAGCACTTTTGTAGCCTCAGTTTTAAGGCACTTTCATCACGCACAAATCAAAAATTACAGCTCAAATGTTGTACCAGCTGCAGAGACATCAGAGTCCTCTGAAGAAATTAGACTAACCCATCATGCTGGGGTGCTCCAGGGAATTAGAAACTGGTTTTATGGGATACTGTTGCGGTACTTTAAAGTTTTGCTTGCAAATAACTGAAGATGAATCAGATCGGTGTTATGGCCATGGTGATATTTTTAATGATTTTTTTTACTTAATTTTGTGCAACGCATGATAACGGTTGGACTTGATGATCTTAAAGGTCTTTTCCAACCTAAACGATTCTATGATTCTAAGAAAAAGCAAGAGTTAACAATTCTAGCCAGCAAAAAGACTTCATTCTTCTCAGTGACCACCTGTGGACAGGACCTTTAAAGGCTCTTTTGCAGCCAGATGCCGGCTTTCCTCCCCAACAGCCCAGTAAGACACCAGTTTATGGGATCAGCACTAACAGGGGTGGCTTCTGCCGCTTTAGGGCTTGCATCGTTTTTCAGGAAAACAAAGCTCCCATCCCAGCTCAGAGTTTTCTCTTCAAATCCTGAAAGGCCTCGTATCCAAACGGCCCACACATGAACTTTGCACTGCTAGGAGACTTCTAATCACAGAGGCCTCATGACCTAGGAAATCACTACCAAATACTTTAAATGCCGCTGGCATCTTGACTATGGCTCTTTCTCTTTCACAAAAATACTGTCCTTAGCTGTTCCCTGCACAGCTGCAAGATTTTTGAGCCGATCAAGTGAAAATCCCTTCCAGAGGAAGCTAGCCCAGACTATATTGCGCTTGAGCAGCACAAGCAGAGCCCTCAGGCTGCTCTGCAGCTCCAGCACAGAGCTCCCCTTCCCCACCAGCATCGCCGACCCACGCCAGTCACCGGCAGGGCTGCGTCGCACGGGCCAGGACCCACCACGTACATCAACAAGAAACCGGGCAATGCTGATCCTGGAAGCTTTACATACGCCCCTCTCTATGTATTTATTGCAAAATAAATTACAGCAGCAATCCTCCACCTAAATAAGAGGAAAATCACTGATTTCTTTACCAACGCATGCTCTGGCAGGCAGCGCAGCAGCTGTTAGCAGCAGATGTGAGCTCTTCTCATGGGGCTGGGAGAGGAATGAGCAGCTGAGACAGTACACCACTGTCCAAACCTGAATGTGGCCAGGCTACCGCCCCGCGTGCGGCGTGCCAGCATCTCTCCAAGCAGCTCCACTATCGGCACAGTAAAACCTACCAAGGTCAGCTCGGTTTTGGACTGTAGAGGCCAGCACCGCTGACTGTCCAACAGCTACAGCACTCTGGGAGTCCCTTAGCTAAGCTCTAATCCTATCCAATGTTGCTTAATTTGGAAGATGACAAAAGTTCACAGCTTAAAATAGTGCATTTCCTCTGTCAGGCTTTTTGGTTTAGAGAGCTTGAACACACCCTGATGGTCCTGTCTGAATGTCTGAATGTGAGCTTTCTGGACAGAAATGGGAGCACAGGTCCTTGACGGGGTTTGGTTCTGGTAGACCTAGACCTCCTCTCCACCCTTCTGAGAAAGCTGAAAGCTTTCCCCTGCTTTAAGAAGGGGGAGAAGCGGTTTGTCATAGCCAAGAGAAGCTTTGTATTTGTCAATGCCCTCCCCTCCAATTCATCCCCACCAAGGAAGTTTGCATTGAGGGGTTTGCTTTCAAGAAGAAACTTTCCAACCTGAGTAACCATGGGCCAAAAAAAGCCAGGGGTGAGGCCTTGGGGAAGAGAGGAGAGGGCTGCAGAGCTGGGTTTACAGCCTCCCTCCTCTCTTGGGCAGCTTTTTTTGAGGGAGGCTCTCCCTTAAAGCCCGCCCGTTAATTGAGAAGAGACAAATCTTGCAGCATCCCTTGCAAACAACCCACTGGAAATGAGAAAAAGCAGAGGAGGTTGAGGTGCTGGAAACCTGCCTCTATTTCTACATTGCTCAGATGCCAAGTGTAACTTTCCACTCAGAGCCCCTGGGCACTGCCAAAGCCTACAGCCCCTTCAGACGCCACAAACACTCCCTCCTTCAGCCGTTCCAGGACAGGCAAGGCAACAGGCGCTGGGAGGATTTCCAGCCCTGGAAAGGAATACACCCAGAAAATATCTTCATTTAGAACAGAGAAGTATGGCTCAAAAATAAAGAGGGCTGCCAGACTTCACTTTATTTAGGGATGTGGCTGCAAAGACAAGCCCACACGGATTTGGGACGTAGCTCTCTTCAGGCAGGAGACTCCATCACCCATGAGCCCACCAGCCTGGTACCTCTCTTGGGTGTCCAGAGCTTCCAGCAAGCTGGGACCTCCCTCCACTGCTCCTTCTCTTGCTCTTTCCATGCTTATGCCACTAAACGCCTTGAACAGAGACACTCAGGTTTGAAGTCCCCTTCCCTAACTCAATGTTCGTCACCAGAAACCTTTGTGCTTTAGTTTGCAGACAATGCATTTGCCAGTGTGACCGCGCTGAAGACCGCTCACCTGGAGAACAACCGGCTCACCCAGCTGCCCCGCAACTTCCCCTTCGACAAAATGGAGACGCTGACACTCTCCCGAAATGCCTGGCACTGCAACTGCCAGCTAGCACATCTGCGCAAGTATGGCACCCTTCCCTCCCCATGTCCCCTGACGTCTCCTTGTGGGTCCCCCAAGGGAGGTCCCCCCCAAGCTCTGCCAGGCAAGAGGAGGCTGCTGAAGGCTGCACACATGCTCAGCAGCTCTCGCTCCAGCCTGCCCTCTCCATTCGCAGTATGAGGGTTGTCCATGATGGTTTGTACCTCTTGTAAACTCCTGGTCTTGTTTCTCCCCGTGTCCCAGGTGGCTGAAGGGCAATCGCACCCGCACCGAGGAGACCTGCTCGACACCCGCGCAGTACCGGGGGCAGTCCATCAGAGACACCCCGGCCCTCCGCACCTGCAAGCTCCCCACCAAGAGGTCCAAGAAGGGAAGCCGCCATTAAACACGTAAGATAGTTCATAGAGTCCTAGCAGTGGCTTCTAGTCTGATCTACAGCAAACCCTGATGCCACCAAAGGTATGGGGACTTCTGTCTCTGACTTCAGTGGCACCAGGGTTTGGCTCAAAACAGCTCGTCCATTCACCCATTGACGCCTCCACTCAGAGCTGCTCCATCTCCTGGCAGTGCTGGGCTCCATGGGCTCCCAGAGCAGAGAATCTGCCTAGAGCATTGGGGATGGAATCAGCCCTGTAGAACAAAGACAGGGCTAAAGACAGGCCTGGGGCAGCAATTAAGGGTGAAACGTGTAATTAAGTGTCAAAACAAGGGTGGATTTAGCCCACTCTTACCCTGAGCTGGGATCACACATGCTTTACTTTTCTAACCAATTGGAGATGCTCAGTCTTTTGCCCTAGTAAAGGTCCTCCAAGTCTGGTTTGAAATCCAGGGTAGGACATTGCTGGGAAATCTGGCCCCAGGCTGCCCAGCCCATATGAAAATAGATGCCTTCCATAAGGAGCAGCTCTTGGTCCAGCACCTGCCTTTCAGCAACTACGATTCCCATCCAAGACACTCAGGTGTTTAAGAACTAAAGGGCTAGTGCCTTCAAATGAACGTCCCAGAAGAGGAAGGTTCGAGACAGCAAATATTCTTTGAATAAAGTGTTCTGGGCCAGAAAGTGATTCAGAGACAGGGCTGACTTTGCCTTGAGCAATGAGCTTGCTGACATCTCCCAATCCAAACACCAACTGTAAAAACCTATCACACAAACACCTTCCACAACTGGAAACTACCAAGAGTATTCAATTCAGTGCATGGAGCAGCAAAAAAGCCACAACTGTCATCACTCCATCCCAAGCATTTTACTTTTGCCCATCCCAGGAATAGGTCTGGAGCTTGTATGGATTCCAAAGGACTCTGGATGAGCCTGCAAGTTTGTAAGCTCTTGGGAAAGGGACCTTTGCTCATTTGTTAAGTAAAGCGCAGTGACCCTGCACAGCACTGTATGAACAGGGGTTGTCACTGTGCCCTTTCGTAACAGAAAGGACGAGGCAGAAGCCTGAAGCCCAGCCATGGCCATTTGGTCCCCAGTTCACTAAAGGATATGCATAACAGGATGGAGAAAGTAAATTTATGACCAAATTGTCAGGGATGATGCCAGCTGCGCTGCGCCTTCCTAAAGTGGTTATTGCTCTTGCAGTGCCAGAGGTTTTATGGATTAGAGATGGAAATACCAGTCGTTCCATATAGGGCGGGTAAAGTTCCGCTCTAGGGACAGAAAAACTTCAGTTTTCTAAACCACAATACTTAAATGTATTTTATTTACAGGTCTGGCCCTTCTGAGCCTTCTTCTCTCCCTGCCTGAACTCAGTTCCAGTTCACTCCTCCATGATGAGACTAAGACAACCATGACAATAATACCTGTTTTTTCTATAGCACCTTCCATCCAGCTCTCTCTAACAAGTTTACAAGTGTTAATGAAATAGAAAGCTATTTACTCCAGCCTTGCAGGAGCCAAAGCTCATTACCATCAGGTGTCAGCGCCAAAATGCAGGCACACAAACCCACTCCAGTGAGGCGAGCATGATTGTAAGGAATATGAGGTACTTCTGACCTCATCGTGCACCTTTTGGGAGCTAGGCAGCTTTCTCCAATGCCAGCTATGGGGGTCTGTATTTCAGGGATGACCAGTGACTTGGCTCACTAACCACACTTCTGATGAAAAGCTGCTTGGCAGTTTCTAAAAATCTACCTGCCCTGGATTTTCAGAACCAGGGCAGCAAAATAATTCACTGCTCTTGACAAGTTTGCTCCTGGGTTTCTTTCCTTACAAAGGAAGTGCTTGCTGACCATCACTGCTTTGGGTAAGATACTCAAGAGTCACACAGAGAGTTGGCAGAAGAGGTCAGAGACAGGACTAACCCTTCTCCTCTACTGTGGGAACTCGTAATGGCTCCTTGACTCCTAACTCTTCACTTTCAAGTATGGGCTTCATTCACTTACTGTAAAAATAAACAGACAAATGCTAGAAGTTTTCTGATCTGCTTGAAAAACCCACTCAAACATGTGGCCTTCTCTCTTTTTTTCCCCTAGCAGGCCCCAGCATGGCCTGTCCCGGTGACCGGTCACTTCAATCATCAGAAAACTACTGACTTCTGAGTCCTTCCTTAAGCTTCTCCTACCTGTCAGGAAACATTTCTGATATATCCAAACACCTCCAGCCTCCTCCGAATCCCCGCTTCTCTGCTGATCGCAGGATGGAATCCACCTTTTCAATCTTTTCCGACATCTATATATTTTAAAAGAGGCATTTTTTAAAACTAAACTATGCATGACCATACTAAGACAAGCTAACCTAAATCCTGCCGGTAAAACACAGTCATCTTTCCCAGAGGCAACATTACCCACGTCCCCGATCAACCAGTTGGTCGCTGTCTCTCCCCTTCCAGTGGAGTGGAAGCAAGTGGGAAGGTAGGAGCATCCCTCCCCCAGCTGCTTGATCAGGAAAATTGGTCTCAACCCACCCAAAGAGACTCCTCTGCCTTCCCACGGAGGGGATCCCTGCAGGCCAGGGCTGAGGGGGATAGGTGACGCAATGCTCAAGAACCGCTGGCCCCGAGACCGAGCTGCCCTTTCACGCCAAAAGGCAGCAACCTCTCTAGGTTGGCCAGAAATCCTTTAAGTGAAGCAGTACTGGGAAAACCCGAAACCGGAGCCACCTGAAGACTGGATTCCCTCCCACTCTGTGGGGTCTACCAAGACGCATGTACGTCCGAGAGGAGAAGGTGTGCACCGTGCAGCCTGGCTTGGGCACCGCTCCTCTTCTCTCTGCCCACACTCCAGAGGATCTAGCAGGACACCAGGATGACTGTGGTTTATTGTCACGGCTATTACAATACCACAGTTGCAACTTAACTGTGTTTTTTAATCCTAAAGAGTTATATAAATATATGTATATTTATTCCTCTGTAACTGAGTGTAAATGACCTTTAAGAGGATGAAAACTCCTCTGTCTCCTATATAGAAATCAAATTGTATATTTTCTTATGTACATCTTCTGTATAAAGCTCTTGCTGCAAAGATGAATTCAACAAGTCTCCCTGTGTCTGTCTGAGGGCTGGGGAATCAGAAGTAACACGAGACCGGTGGTACAAATATAGACTTAATCCTCTTTATCCTATGGGCAGAGCAACTGTTTGGGAGGGGTTTATTATTTCTCTTTCTACAAAGCAGGAACATGTGACACCTAATGAGTCCTGGGCACTTGCAGTAACATCTGAAAATATTTTGTGAGGCCAAACTCAAGCTTACTATAAAAATAGTTAGCTGTCACCTGACAGAGTCCAGGCAACGACACCAGGGCTGTCTCTGGTGTTTTCAGCTCAGCTTTAAGAGCATCACATCCAGGAAAAAACCCTGGCCGCCTCTGAGATGGCTCCAGGACAGATGCCCTGGGCTCCCCCGATCCGCAGCAGAGCACACAGTCGTTCCTGTAAAACCCCGGTGCTGGTGTGGTCCAGGTCTGCCAACAACAACATGCCTAATCTGACTCCCAGCCCTGCATGTTTATCCATCACAACAGTCTGCTCCCTCAGCATTTGCAAGCAGCGTCACACTGAAGTTACTGCCTTTAAAGTAAAACAAAAAAGTCCTTTTTTGGCTCAGCCTTTCACTCATGGGCACACACGTGCAGATGGCAGGACCTGCCTACGAAACGTGTCATCTGGAGTGCCACTGACCCATCGCTGGTGGCCTGTCCCCCTCCACATGCAGGACATGCTCTTGCACAGGCCAAGGGTGCAGGGACGTGCAATGGAGCAGCAGCACGCGTGGTCCGATACGTGCTGCCCTTCTGACAACGCAATGCCTGGTGCTGTACGAGTGGATGGCACTGTTTCTGCGTTTAGACTCAAACGTGTAGCATGCAACAAGGTTTTATATCCACATGCAGCCCAGGATGGTGGAAAAAACTTGACAGCTCCACAGCAAGATGAACACGCACACCCACCCACATCAATACAAACCAGCAATGCCTCTTCCATCATCGTTCATCCTTGCAGCATGTACAACAGAAGGGTTTATAAAAGTTCTGAAATGCGCCAGCTCAGTTTATGACACTGAACGTGACGTCTTCTCTTCTTGCAAAGCTTCCTCGGCAGACACCCCACCAGCAACCAGGCAGAATCCCCTTTCTTCCTCCCATCCCCTCTACCCTGTCACTCCTCTGCCTGGCCTCACGCCCACCATCCCATCACACCTGATCCCAGCAGCTCTGGCACTGCCAGGTACCGCTGCGGTGCAAGAGATGCCCAAACTCAGGGTCTCACCATGACAAACACCACTTGCAGCTCTAGTCACAGCAGCCACGACTCACCACAATCTCGGGCATGTGCATCTTGGTGATAATCATCCTCATGACCTCAGGGGGAACAGGAGAACCTGCAATGATTCCTGGAAGGAAGAGGAAAAGATGACCATCTTGGAAACCATCTATTTATTCCCAAGAGCTGTCCCTGAGAAGGTTCTGCACTCTCAGATTTGAATGCTGGCAAGACCTTTGGGATACACCGGTTCCTGTCAAAATACGTTCTATTTTTATGGATACAGGTCCTACTTATTCTAGAAGCAAAGGCTGCAGCAAGGCCAGTTTGCCTGAATGAATGAAGGGTTGGCAGAGTTCACTCGTTAGGAAAATAAACTCTATAGCGCAAACCTAGTCCAAGCTGCAGTTCCCAAAAAGGAAAGATTCAGAGCAGAAATGGCACAGATTTTTAGCAGCACAAACACACTCATCGATCATCACCACCATAAAACCCCAAACCTTTCCTCCTGCCTTGCACAGAGCAGCCCTTTTGGGAGAGGGCAGATCACATTTTCACCTGTTCTGTCCTAGGATGATGAAGCAAATGAGTGGGGTAATATATAGGCTTTACTGGGGAACAAGATGAGACAGGATCATTTTTCACATAGCAGAGATTAGGTAATCTGCTCAAATGTTTCTTT